GTATCCCTGAATACATGCAAGGAATAAGACCCCATAGTGATGGGACAATCATGAAGGAGAAATAAACCTTTGTGATTTTCAGCCCCTGGCATCTGCAGTTTGTCATTGCAGTGTAACACAGTCCATTCAGACTGACTGATTCAGCCTGCTATGGGCTCTGGACACAGCCTGGGCTTCAGCAAATGCTGCTGGCTGCTGGTTGCCTCGATGGGGAGGCACCAGCCCCAGGGGAGCGGCCTTCTTAGGCAGTGGAGCACCTCTCAGCGCAGCTCACTTCCTTCAGCTGCAGTCATGCAAGAAAGCAGTGCTGCCTTTTACTCCCCAATCCACAGTCTGCCTTCTTAGTTAAAAACTGGGCAAATGGGGAGGGGGTAAGCAGAGAAGATAGTCTATGAAGCAGAATGTTCATTTCATCTGTTCAAGTCTGTAATTGTATTCTCTCCTGGCTTCACCACGTTTTGGGTATTATGGATGTCAGCAGGGATTGCTTGCCTGGTGGGTGAAGGCACTGTACTGTGCAGAGATGCTGGGACCCATTTCCCCAGAGACACTGGGGCACCTGCAGGGACTGTGTGTGCAGCTCAACAGCTGAGGGAGCAGCTGTGTCCCACATATCAAGTGCTGCCCGAGGCAGCGCAGGTGGAGTGAGCCAACGGCAGGTGCACAGGGGGAATGAGCCAATGGCACGGTGCATAGGTAGGTATTCCTCGGGCAGGGTGAAAACCACAGGAGCCTTTCAGTTCTCCCTCTGACTGTGCTACAAGGTGGGGAGATGTGCTGACTGCTTACCCTTAGGAACACAGAGTGACAAGAGATGTGGGCAAGAGACGGAGATTTAATTGAATAAAAACTCTAGGCTGTGACAGAGGTGGGAGACACAAAGCAGTAATTAACAACATAATTGTAAATGAAGATGCAATTCACTAGGTTGGCCCCGCGCGGTGGGAGTGAGGATGGGGTAGAAGGGCATCTTTCAGCCCCAAACCACTGCTAAACAAAGACGGGAGCTTTGTGTGTGTTTTTAATAAAACATCTGTGTGCAAAGGACCCCAGTTGCAGCAAGGTCAGCAAAGCCCACGGCAGTCCTGAAGGTTTCTTAATGCCAGAGGAAAGCCAACAAAAGCATCCACGTTGTGTTTCCTTTTTTCATCTCTGAGCTGGAGAGACTGGGCCCAGTCACAAGGCTAGTAGGCGTTCAGGATTCATTCGTGCTTCAGACCGAGGACTGTTCCCTGGATGCTGGGCGGGGAGTGAGGCTCCTGGAGCTAAGAGCCTTTCTGGAGTGGGACAGGGGGAGTGGGGAGAGTAGTTACTATTGGTCAAGGTGGGGTAGGGTTGGGGGCCACACTTCACTCAGGAAAACATCTCCAAAGTACACCCTCTCAACAGGCAATACCCTCCCAGAGCTCATACTGACCTTATGCCCTCTCCAAAAGGTTACAGTGGGTTATCCTCACTGTCTGAGGGTCTCAAGGTGATGCCTGGGTAGGTACTTTATGAGCTCAATTCTTGGACAGACTCTCTCGTGCTAATTTTTGGGTTCCCGTGACCCAGGCAACTCCAGTGTCCCCTTCACGGTGGCAACAGCTGTAGCACCTACTCAATAGATGGAGGGACCAGTCTAGGGTCAAGAGACAAAGTGGTTTCTCACCTTCCAGAAAGATTGCTGTGACCTTAGGTTTTATTTCCCTCATTCTCAAAGAAAAGGTCTGTCAGTCCCAAGCTATCTGAGGGAGAAAAACCATCTTTACATAAGAGGTCCCTGGATAGGGCTCAGTACAGGGCAAAGTTTAGATTTCTCTACATTGATTTTTCAAAGTGGTGGAGTTTTGGAACCATGGTAGCCCATCTTAGGACTAGAAGACAATATCCAAAGCCAGCTTGGCAGAGAAACCTGCCAACTTGACTTGGAATGAAGGTTGCTGTCCCAAGCAGCTGCTTTTCATAGTACGCAGTGCGTGTGAAAAATAAGACACAAGATGCATGAGTAACTCTGATGTTCTTGACCTTGGATGGGTAAAAGCACAGGGTCTCCAATGGTCTGATCTCTTGCAAGTTGCACATACAGCTCTGGAGACGGTCCTGTGCAGGTACATGTGTTCAAGGGGGACCTTCCCCTCGCATGTGGCACCAACCTTGCTACAGCTGAGGGGCTTAAAGGTCACCATGAAAACAGAATTGTGCCATGACAAGACACGATAGTTCAAGTATCCGCTTTTTTCCCCCTCTTTTTCTAAACTGAAGCTGGCTTAAGGTAGAGATCTAAAGGTAACCAAGCCAGACCCCTCATGACCACAGAGACAAACAACACAGAAGTATTTAGGAATTTATAGAACTAAAGCTTAAAGTGAATACTGTCTCAAAGTCAGGGGTTGCTAAAATAGGGTGACACTGCCTGGGTCTCTGTCATGAAAACGTGTCACAGCAAGATGAACTCAAACTCAAACTTGGATGCCAAAACTCCCCATTCAGATGAGAATGTTCTAGCTAAGCATTTCTTTGATCTACCAAGGCGTTTTAAACAGCTGATAGTTAGATAGCTCCTGGAATGAGAGTTATGTATAACGCAGAGATCATTCTAGAATGCATGTGCCAATCTTTCTGCACAGCGAAGGTTATTCTCAAGAAAAAAGATCCAATGGGGTCGCTCACTGTGGTGCATCAGAGAGCATATGGTGCATCAAGGTTTTTCTTTTTCCCCTCTGGAAGACTCATTCATAAGGAAACTCAGTTCCCAGGAGGAATCCAGATGTTTCCAACCAATGAGGAAAGATAACAAGATTGGGGAGCAAGAGGCCCTGTAAGTCCACTGTCTGGCGGGCCACAAACACCTTTGGAGATCTCGTGATTTCTGCATGGGATTGGGAGTCCAAGTCTTGGTTTATACCATTGCAGAGAAGAGCTTCACAGCCCAGTCGTTGGTCTTATAAAGGCTCTTCCATCCGTGTGAGTACTCTTGCCCAGTTCTGCAGGTGCATACATAACTCCTCCCACTTCTCTTTTCTCTGGGGGGCAGAACTTGATGAAGACACACAATTTCAGCAACTTATAGCCACATTCCCCCATCCCCTCCAAAAAAAGAGATTGCTATTTTACACTGTATTTTATAGAACCAACTTTTGGGCTCCCTACCCTTTGTTTTGTCTTACTTTCACAGCAGACCCATAAAAAGTGGGAGGAAAAGTCACAGAAGCATCACTTGGGGAGACAGAAAGACTAAGACAGATCTGACCACACGACAAGTACCCCAGGCTCTGGCCTCCACAGGAGCAGTTCAGACTTGAGTGAAGAGACGGCTGCTGAGGTGGCCGTCGCCGCTGTGACTGCACAACACTGCGCTTAGACAGGACGGGTGCAAAACGAACGTCATTACTCAGTCCCATTTGTGTGGCTGGGCCAGGCAGCTCACGGCGTTGGAGGTGGCTTCGGAGACGGGCATGAGCTCTCACTGTCAAAGCTGGCAGCACGGCCCTGCCACTGCAGAGAGGAAAGAAAGGGGTGAAGGGGAAGAGTTATTGGTGGCCGGAGGGATTTACACTGTAACTTGCACAGCTTTGCTGGTTAGCCCATGCACTGAATTTACTTCTCCCAGCTTCTCAGCTTCTAAGCTCTCTGGAATTGTGCTGTGAGCCATGCAAAAACCAGCTTTGAGCAGCTTCTAGGGTGGAATTCTTGATTGCCAGAGCAAAGACCTACTGCAGGGATAATAAAAGCCCTCTGCCCTCCACAGAGTGAGTGTGTGTCTGGGTTGTGATGAGGAGCTAAGACTGGCGCCCGTGATGGAGGGTGTCAGCCATATTCCACACTGACAATTGGATTACGTTCGCAGTGAAGGAGGCAGCAGGCAGAGTGTGCCCTTACTGCCAAGAACCAATGATCATGAATTATTAGCCATTTGTCTAGGTCCTGTTATACAGCTGACAACCTGGTATTGCTTTAGCTATGGACTCTCTGCCTCAGTCCCAATGCCGCCTGTGGCATTCATACTCAGATGGGTGTTTAAGTAGGAAGTGGGGGAGATGGCAGCCCCTCCTTCTTTTTAGGTCTGCCTAACCCCTTTGTCCTCCACAGCTGTCCCTTTGGCCCTCCTCTGAGTCCTCCATGAAAGTTGCTGATGTCATGAGCATAACAGAGGACCAATGGAGCAGTGGCCTGAGCCACCCTACCTGCTCTAAGTGGGTGAGCCAGCCATTGCTGCGGCAATGTGTCCCGGGCAAGGCTCCAACCTGTGAGCGTTCCCAACATTGTTCCTCACCTGCAAGGTGAGACTGAGCCAATGCTTACTCATTCTTTCACTGGGGAGATGCAGTCTTCTCTTAGGTGCCTACAGGACTGGGCTCCAAAGGGACAGCCGAGGCAGGCAGGGAGATGGCCTCCCTGGACCTCTCGTCTCACGAGGTCTCCACAATAGAGGGATGGGGCTGAGTCTGCAGCTATGCATCAGGCACATGTCAGGGGTGAACAGGGAGGGTACATTTCCCTCGTACGCAGCCATTTGTAGACAGAGCTACCTAGGGAACAGACTGTTTGCCATCCAGTGCTACCTATAGAGCAAATGGGAAGCTCATGAAGCCAAGAGGCTACAGACCTACTGAAGAGCTAACAGCACCCAGCTGTCCCTCTCGGGATCCCACACATCTTGGGCTGGCCCATCTGAAGATCTTTCCAACCAACTACAGGCCACACAGATCAGGCATCAGCCACCACCAACCCTGTGACCTAGACCTGGCTATTTCAGCATGGCATGACTAGAGGCACAGGCTTGGGAGATGGTTTCAGTGAAGCCATCTAGCTCTTGCACAAGAGAAAACAGAAGTCAAGTGCAGCCAGTGAGGGCAGAGCCAGAGGTGGAACCAGGGCTCCTCTCACCTCCAACACAGTCCAGTGCTCCTTTCCACTCCATCCCACCGCTGTCCCAGCACGGGCCACGCCATGGGAAGAAGGAGACATACAACGTAACAAGGAACCTAACCTCTTTGGGGTCCACTGCAGGTACTTACTCCTAACTCCGGGTGGCAGTCCCTCTGCTGGCAGCCTCCACGTGAGTGAACTCACAACCGAGGGGTTCCCTGGTGAAATATTTTAGATCAATACATGCCTGGTTGGTGAGCCCAAACTGTGACTTCAGAAGGCAACATGGGACGACCACGGATGATCTCAGGGAATAGATCTGCATTTTAGGAATTCTATGTCTCTTGTGACAATCTGTGATTGTGCGCAAAAGGGACATGGTAATTACCGGTTTGGCCCCTGGGTAAAAAGCATGCCACTTAGACAACCTGATAGATGGGCCGGGTCAGAGGAGGGAAATGTGAAATGACCGCACACAGCATTTGTCTGTCTTTACATAACAGTTACTAAGAGGAGTCCCACAGAGCATGCCAGTTTATCCGGAACAAATGGACAAGGAGTGCTGCGGCTCCTCAGCTCACCCCTGAATTTTCCTACGAAGATAATAAACAAAGGAAAGAGATGAGGTTCACGGGCCACAGGCCACGGGGAGGTGAACGATTCCAAGAGGTGAGTTGAGCAGGGTGATTTTGCACATCCTGGGCACACAGCAAGCTGATTGCTCCCCAGGGGCCGTATTCCCAGAGGTTCTTTGTTGCTCTGAAATGGGTCACGTTCCCAGAGAGATCTAAAATCCCTGGCGGGTGATCTGAACTCTGCCTGGTGACAGCGATGACAACGATGACAACGTGGCTCTGGGCAGGAGAGCTGAGAGGGAAGGGGTGGGGGTGGGGGAGCAGCTGCTGGCACTGGAGCTAGGGAGGGGCACCCGGGAGGGCTTCAGGAAAGAATCCCAGCCAAGGAGGGGAGGGATGGTGGGCGGGGATGTCTTCTCAGTTAATTTACTTCCTTCAAACTGATTTTTTAAACTGCAAACAGGCAAGCAGGCATGGTGCCCTCTGTTCTCATTAATAAAAAAAGAAATGATCACAGCACTTGAAACTCCACAAAGAAAGGCACAAGAGAAATAGTGCTTTCCAGATCTGGTGCCATTTATCTTGCCTGGGAGCTGAGGAGGAAGGTTCTTTTATGTATTGAACAAATGGGCAATTCAAATTACAGGAGCCAAGCCCTTGCTCACTGTCTAGTACAGAACTAGAGAAGGCTGAGCCGTGAGGCTGACCGGGCAGGGAGGCCTTCTCATGTTCATGTACAACACATCTGACGGTGCCACAAAGCGGAAACTACTTCCTATTAGTTGAGTGATGCTGGGGTCTGTGCAGTAGGTGTGAATAACACGAAGGTGTGAAGAGAACAGCTCCCCTGCTTGGCAGGGCCAGAGGATTTCTCTCTGACCACCTTGACACAGTTTCACCCCCTTTCGCATGGACACTCAAGCACCCCACTAAGAATTCTGTAATCTATTGAGGCATTGTTTGTCCTTGTGAGATGGCTTTGGCAACTAATGTGAGCTTGAGAGTTAATGTTATTGATAATGTCTTGGTGAGTGGGCCTTTAACTGCGCACAGGAGTACAATTAAACCCATGTCATTTCTGGACACCTTATTGTGTACCTACCCATTGCCCTGGCCAGGACATATAGCATGCCTCCAGGGAAACGGCTTAATAAGAATTTTACAAACTAATGGAAGTGATGGGAGTATGAGTGGAAACTGCTATAGCAAAAATTATAGTTACTGTGACCTTAAAGGTTAGCCTGTCCTTGCAACTCTTTAGAGCATAGAAAATGTAGCTGTTTTAGTCGCTTTCATAATTTTTTAACTAGAGGAAATATAGGGTGATTCTATTAACATCATAGAGATATACTTTTGATTATTGTTTGATTGTTTATGAGGTTGTAGAGCCTGCAGTTGTAGGGGGATTTAATGTTTGAAACTTTTTGTTCTAGATTGTTATTTTTTTCCCCTTTTGATGTATTTCTCCTATTAAGTGATAAATAAGTTGTGAAAATAAAATGTAGTGGGAATGTTTTACTGATTAGTAGGTAACCATCTGTGCCTTGGCCTTGGAGTTCTGGCTGTCACCTAATGGCTACTTCTGAAGAATGAATAACAGTTTGCTTTAAAGAAACTGATTATAGTAACTTACAGAATTATCTTTAAGAGCACCTGGTTGACCATGAAGTAAAAATTAATTGGACATCTGTGCATGCTGTCTTAGTTTTACAGTTAAAGATAAAAAAAATCAAACGTTTGTGCAGAGGCTTGTGATGTGTCTAAGTAAATAAAAAGGACAGCTTCTTCTTGAGCAAAAAAGCTAGAAGGCACCAAGTGACAGTGTCTGTGTCTTTCTTTATCACCGACTCCACGCACCCTTCTCGAGCTCCGAACTCAGCTGGAGCTGGACTCCGGCAGAGTGAGGGTTCGGATGCATTCTTATAAAGGTATGTAAGCTGCGTGTGCTAATGGCGCTGGTAACAAAACAGTGCTGATAACAATCTCATACAAAGCAGTGCTGTAGACATCCTAAGTTACCAAGACGAATGACATTTTCAGCTTCTTCACATGGACCAGCCATCGGCTGAGCCGCAGAGCGCGTGGTGGAGACAAGCCTGGAAGCTGAGTGTGGAAGGTCAGGGGAAAAAGTAAACCCAAATGAAGCCATCTCTTCTCTTCTTGTTTTGTCACATACTGCTATTTTTTTTTTTTTTTGCCTTTACTGCCTTATCAAATATTCATTTTCAAGGACTTGATATTCTACTTTGTCTTTTTCTTTTGTCGTCTGGACTAGTGAGTCAGACTACTCAAAGAAACAGGACTGGGGATTCATGATGTGCCTTAATTGGGTTGTATTCATCTTGAAGAAGGGCCCCATGGTACCCTGCACCCTGGCTCCAGTAGCTGCTTTGCGACTGACTTCCTGTTTGCCACGGGCAGCCACAGTACAAGATGTGGCCTCATGGGCTTAGAAGCCCCAGAAAAGCAGAGATGTGAGGGGCCTGTCTCCTCATTTTACCAACCAGGGGACCAAAGACCAGAGCTGGGGCAGGGGATGGGGACACACCCTGGTATAATGGGCAAGGCAACCTGCAACACCAGCATCTCCTAATTTGTGTCCCGGCTGTTCCACTTCCAATCTAGTTCCCTGCTCATGGCCCGGAAAAATCAGCAGAAGATAGCTGACGTGTTTATGCCCCTAGAGCCACGTGAAAGATTTGGAAGAAGCTCCTGGCTCCTAACTTTGGCTTGGCAGAACCCTGGCTATTGAGGCCATGTATTGCTGTGAATCAGCAGATAGAAGATCTCTTTCCATCTCTGTAAGTCTGCCTTTTAAGTAAATAAGTACAAGAAAAAAGACCAGAGCTGGGCAGTGAGTTACCAGGGATCCCCAGCCCACCAGAGATTTCTACTTTGGAGCATCTTGAAAGGCGAACAGGGCACAGCTGCCCTGGGCTCTGGTTGAGGCAACATTGCACGTAGTGAGGTACCAGATGTCACGTTCATGTGGCCTGGGGAATTTGTGCAGTGGGCAAGGAGGGGTAGGGGTGGAAGTTCCCACAGGGGGACCCAGAACTAGCCTTCCTTGTTAAAGCTCCCCAAGGGCAGGGACCCTACATCAGTGCCTTATTCCTTGATGCCATGCCAAAGGCCCTGGGGCAGGAGCCCACAAATCACACTCAGGAAGGTGAACCCAGCATCTTGACTCCCCAAAAGCCATGGTTCCCACACCTCCGATCCTCTCCCATTGCTAGAAGGAGGCTCACCCACCCTGTGAGGGAGCCAGCAGCTCCTTCAGGATCTGTCCTGGGGTTGGGGAATCCTGTCTTCAAGGTGACTGCACTGAAGCTGTGGGGCCAAGTGCAAGAAAGGACAGAGCTTTAGATTGGCATGAGTGCGATCCCCCACTCTCACACTGCTTTCTGAACTCGCAGGGCATGGAACCTGTGAGGGTGGGGGAGTGATCTCTCAGCTTTGCAGGATATGGCTCCAGGGTCTGACATCCTGTAAAGGATGCTTAGGGCTCATTCCCAAGCCAAGGAAGGAAAAGCAGGCCTGGGGGACCCCTGAGCCAGCAGATCAGAGGCTCTGAAGTTGGCAGGGTACAGGGAGGGGATGGGTGTAGGCTGCAAGTGTCCCTCACAGGGGCCTGTCTCTTGCTGCTGAGGGAGAAGTGACAGATTCCAGACATGAGCCAGCTAGGATGCTCAAAGCAGGAGCCAAGTGCAGGACTTCCAGCTCAGTGACTGTTCTCTCTCTCTCTTTCTCCTCTGCTAAGGGGGTTTAGCCACAAAGAGAGACATCTCAGGGCCACAGAGAGAAATCTGTTCCTTCGTGATCTCCCTCTAAGCAGTGAGAACTGCCAAGTGATGGCCTGCCTTGGGTCTCAGGGGACTTCCTGTTCCAGCAGGCGCAGAATTTCTCGCCAGCTTCTACTCTTATGGCCTGGGCCCAAGAGCTTTGTGAAAGCTTTTTGGGGCCCACGGGACAGGCTCCCTGCAAGCTCTAGTTTTCCAATGAGAATTTAAAATTGCCTGGCCTGGCTGCTTCCTGTCGGCAGCCTTTGCTTTCCCCCTCCTTCCTTCTTTCCTTTGTGCCTGTGATGCAGCGGGTGAGAAGCACGTGGGACCCACGTACCCCCCGACCCCTCCACCCCACTGAAGGCCAAGGGTCTCGCAGCCGCCAACTGCCATTCTCCAGCCCACACCACCATGCAGCAAGCATGCCAAGGGCCAGGCAACCTCACCCACCTCTTTGAAGGATTTCTTTACCTCCACCAGGGAGTGCCAGTGTGCAATGGGTTTGCGTGGGTACGCCAGCATCTCGTTCCAGTGGTCTCTGCCCAGGCCTTCAGCACTGATGCCCACGCGGCAGACTCCTATGATCTCATTGTGGCCCACTCTGAGGGAGAAAACAAAGCCATTGTATTGACTATCACCTGTGCCTTCACCCAGGTGAGGCTGTGCATGGAGAGAAATTGTGCTAACTCGCTGGGCCAAGTCTGCTCCTCAAGCACCTGCGATGCTTGAAAACTTGTGCAGAGAGCCCTGGCTGAGGCTTTATTGCATTCTCTCCTCTCTCTCTCTCTCTCTCCTGTATGGACAGCTGCAAAGAACCTGCCCTGAGGGTTGCTGCTTGCAAAGTGTTTTAGAACCAGTCTTGATGAAGACTAAGGATGAGTACAAGAAAAGTACATCTCAGGTGGGATGCATAGGCTGGCCCAGGGGATGGGAGGGCTTGAGAGACAAGGGTGGGGGAAGCCTGGACCCCAGGAGCCATTGATGATTCTTTAGTAGGGCAAGCTCAGAGAGCAAGTGGGTCTTCACTCTGCCAGTGGGTTGCATAGCAGTCCCAGAAAAAGGGTGGCAACAGCAGCAGGAATAGAGAGGGTGGAAAGTTATTTTAGAAAACATGCTGGGGGCCTTGCACAAAGACTCAATTGGCTAATCCTCCCCTTACAAGTTCCGGGGTTTAATGTGGGTGCTGTTTTGTGTCCCAGCTGCTCCACTTCCTGTCCTGCTCCCTACTTGTGTCTATAAAGCAGTGGAGGAGAGCCCTTGGGACCCTGCACCTGGGTGGGAGACCCAGAGGAGGCGCCTGGTTCCTGGGTTCGGATTGGCTCAGCTCTGGCCATTGGGGCCACTTGGGGAGTGAACCAGTGGACAGAATATCTTATTCCGTGTGTCTCCTCTCCTCTCTGTAAGTCTACCTTTCAAATAATAAATAAATGAATGAATGAATAAGAAAGAAGAAGGAGGAGGAGGAGAGGAGGGGGAACTACTGGGAGTCAGTGGAAGAAGGGGAACAGTAAGGGGGTAAATGGGCTTGATTGGGGTGGCGCGGGGGCAAGGTGCTAAAAGGTGGACCCATCCTTGATGGAAACAGGCCAGTAGGGAAGGAAGGCTTATGCCTTTGCCAAGGTGAAACCCATGCCTTTCTTCAACTTCCTGGTCTTGGCTTTGGAGGACATGGGTTTGAAGTCAATAAGATGTGTGAGCCCTGAACTGGTTAGGGAGCCCTAAGGGAGTGGGGATGACGAGCGATGGGGACAAGAATCCCTCGCGTGGAAGATGTACACACCGGTCATAGTCCATCACGGAGATGAGCAGGCTGACTTGATCCATGTTTTCTGGGGGAATGTCAAAGATGATGGCCTCGTTGTAGACGGGATTGAGTGTGTTCTTCTTAATGGTGGTTTTTTTCTTCTTCAGTCTCCGTCCGTCACAAAGCAGGGACACTTTGACGTATGGATCTGGGCGGAGGGAAGGGAGCAGGTTAAACAGATGTCCTCAGATTCCATTTGCAGCTGCAGGCCTGCCACCCCACACCCACTGCTGTTCCACAGCCGGATTCAGCAGGTTGTTAATATAATTAAATCACCTTGTACTTATGTAGCACACCTGTCTCGAAGGACGCTCTGCACTCGATAAACAGTCTTTAGCTGCCTCTGTTTTCTTGGGAGAGAGCCTGATGGATTTTTGCTAATAGCACAACTGGCTCCAAATCACATGGGGCACCTGCTCACAGGTACACCATTTTCATGATCCTAAGCCTCTGTCCCGGTGTGGCTGGCTTGGCCCCAAAGGGTAGTGGAGCTGAACAAGGATGCTTGGTTTCTTTCCTCTAAGTAGCGCCTTCTCTTCCCAAGAGGATGCTGCCAGCATTGTTAACCAGAGGAGAAGGGGCATAAAAATAGAACTCAACAATGCCCAGGGAGTAGCAACATGTGTCAGAGTGAAAGTGAGCAGCAGCAATCACCATGCCTACCTACCCATTGTCGCCACAATCTCATTTCTACTCAGAGTGTTCAGGGGTGGGTGGCTCTGCTTCGCTGGCAGCCATTTCCTGTCCACTTCCCAGCAGGGGTGGAGGGAGCTGTGGCCAGAGGAGTGAGCGAGGCGGTCCCTGAGGCTCAGGGCAGCTGGCTGACATTTCATTTCTCAGTGGGGTCTTGGAGTTCTTCCCATCCTGTCCTGAGATGCCTTTCTACTGAACCTCCACATGGCTCCCAACCTCCTCTCTCCTTTAGTTCTTGGAATGAGTCTTTCCCAATTGTCTTTCTAAACCCTGGAATTTTCTACTCACCTAGATGAAATGACACCTATTATATCTCAGGGCACAGGTGTCTTGGTCACCGTCATCATTGTTATTTAGATGTTACAGCTCAGGAAAGAAGAGAGCTGCTTGTTGGTAGGTAATAATAGCTTTGGGGATGCTGATGCCCAGAGCCATCTTTGTGCCCAGGAGCCAGGGCTCATAGGAACCTGTCAGAGTTGCCAGCCCAGGCAGCTGCTTCCCCAGCTCCATGAGTCACAGACGTATGCTTCTCGCTCCTGGACATCAGAGCACCTGCTAGTTCCATCCTACAAGTACTTTAGAAGCTTTAGAAACTGTGACACCTGGCCAGAAGCACTGAGCCTCGGAGACACGTCTGCAGACACCTAAAGTGGCCAGCATGACAGCAGTGACTGCCTCTCAGCCATGGCGACACTTGGGTTTATGGGGGAACTGGGGAGCTCATGAAGTGCTGCATTAATGTGCTGTCTCCTATGATCACTTTGCTGGGGCCCGGTGTCAGGGGACTTTTCAGGAATGAAACAGCTCCTGAGAATGGGTGGGGAGAGAGCTTTTGGGTTCTCAGTAACTGCTTTCCCCATGGATATACCCCAGCATGCTGCTTAATGCACTCAGGTGGCAAGGGCTAGCCCTGAGACTTGTCATTAACAGGACAGCTTCTAAGCCCCCAAGGGTGCACGATGCTGCAGAAAGTGTCTGTCTTCAGGCTTGAGGGTTATTTTCCTATTTTACCTCTTTCCAGGACTGTCACCTGCAGCACCTTTTCAGATCAGAAAGCTTGGGAAAATAGAAGCATGCCTGCTGGTGCCATGGGCCACTGGGCAAAGGCCTTGGCATTCTTCTCTAGCTCTGTTTACTTTCTATGACACATCCAAATTGTAGAACCCTCTGGTTACCTCCCCCTTGTAGGAACAGATGTTCCCACCAGTGGCCATGACTGTCCCCTGAGGTTCTCTGGGGGCAGAAGTTGAAGGTGTCCAGTGAAATGCTGGCTCCATGAAATCCTTGGGTCCTTTCCACTCTGTGATACTCTGGTGGCCAAGATACCAGCACCAAGGCAAGCAGTGTATTTCAGACTCATTGTCATAGGAATCAGAAATTAGAATATGCCAGGCACTGGGCTTAGAGATGGACCTACATCAGGTTTCTTGAACTTTACATCCCCATTTTACAGATAGGAAAATTGAGGCTTAAAGGGATTAAGGAGCTTGCTCAAGATTTGGACCCAGGTCTTGTGTGACTTGGAGCGCTTGTTTTTGAGCACTCAATTCAAAGCAGTACAGACCAGCTGTGGCAGAGATGGGTAGGCTGGCTTACTCTCTGTGCCTCTGGGTGTACCAGCTCTTGCTATTGTGCTGTGTGACTTTTATTTTTATGCTTCTGGCAGGTAGGCTTAGGGAACTGATTTAAAACTAGTTTAGCTCAAGAAGAATAGAGATTTTTAGAGGTCAAGGACATGGAAGTCAAGAACAGGTGGTTCATTAGCTCTGTGTATTCTTCAGTTTATTCCAACATCAAACTAGCCAGAGCTGAAAACACTCTCTTGCTTATCCTTAAAAAATAGGAGATCTTGGGTTGGCACTGTGGTGCAGTGGGTAAGGCTGCTGCCTGTAACTCTGGCATCCCATGTGGGCACTGGGTTAGTGTCCTGGCTGCTCCATTTCTAATCCAGTATTGTTGCTAATGGCCTGGGAAAAGCAGTGGAAGATGGCCCATCTCTGCCACCCAGGTGAGAGACCTGGATGAAGCACCTGGCTCCTGGCTTCTGCTTTGCTCAGCCCTGGACTCTGCAGCCATTTGGGGAGTGAGAAAGTGGATGGAAGATTCTCTCTAATTCTTTCAAATAAGTAAATAGATCTTAAAAAATAACAACAGGGGCTATAGTTTGAGAAGCCTGTGGTGTGTGCCTCCTATTCTGCGTAACCCTGAGCCAGCTTCTTCATATTCTCCATTCATTGACTCAGCCACTCAATTCATCAAAAGCTCATGTTCTACATGCTGTTGCAGACACTTGCAAAGGGGAGCACACTAAACAGAGAGCTGCAATGCAGTGAGGACCCCTGCATTTCCAGAATCCAGCTGAGAGGTAGTACCAGGTTCCAAACCTGAGTAGCAAAGGAGGGGATGTTAGAACTTGGTACGAAAGCAGTCTCGGAGCCCAAACAGTGGCCTGTGCAGTGACCTCTCTGGCCTCGCCATGAGCTCTCTTCTCCAGCACATCTATTCAGTGACACCAGGGCAAACACCGTGGGGACTCAGGCAGCGAAATCCCATTTCCCTCTGCAGCCTGGAGAGGCCTCAGTGAATTTCCATCCCTGCTACATGCTTATTTTGAAATGAAAACAGATTCGACTTGGCTGCATTCTGGCAGAAGCAGGCTTGTTGCTGCCTAAGCACTTTCTAGGGTTTGGGCTGGGACAGGTCTGTTGAAGTCTTGGCCACTCCCTGCTGCATTCCGGGAAGCTTCAGGGGGAGGACTATTAGGGTGACACTCTTGGTGCATGTGTGTGTGTGTGGGCACCACAGAAGGCTGGGGACCAGCAATATGTTTTAGACTCTTGATCACAGGAATCGTCAGCATGCAACAAATGTCCAAGACTTCAGGGGCTCCCCACTGCCCTCCACTCCTCTCCATTGCACCAGGTTGCACCTGGGCCCGGGTGTTTGCAGCTGCAGCCTGGTCTCTTTCTGGTAACTGTGGTTCTATCAGAGTCAGCCAGCAGATGAATAATTCATGAATACAAAGCAAGTGTAAGGGAAATCTTCAATACATTTGTATTTCTAGCCCAGTTCAGAGGTACCTCCTGCATGGCTTCTGGGTGGTAACTGCAGTCATCAGAAGGCCTTTTGGGCAGGAGTCTTGGGAACCAGAGCCAGCGTCTCAGTCTTTGTCCAGACCACTCTTCACCCATCAGGGCAGGGCAGGGTAGGGCAGGAGGCAGTGCAGACCCCAGCTCTCAAGCAAGGACTTCGTTATTTTAAACTTACTTTGATTTAAAGTTTTTTTTTTGAGAAGGAGGAAAGGAGGTAGAAAGAGAGAGAGCATTCACTGATGCACTTCCCAAGTGCCCAAAATGGCTCAGGAAAGCCAGGAGCTAGGCATTCAATCCAGGTCTCCCATGTGAGGGACAGAGATCATCTCCACTGCCTCTCTGGGCATACACTGCCAGGAGCGGAGCTGGGTAGCAAACCCAGGTATTCTTATATGGTAAATGGCAGGTGTCACCAAACTGCCAGGCCAAATGCCTGCCCCCTGGATTATTCCCCAGTTCTTACACCGACTTGCTGGGCTATTGCAGAGGGACGAAAGCTCATGCCAGACTTGGCCCCACAAGATGCTGCAGATACATCTGTTCTACCTTTGCCTCTGGTGTGAGAAAGCAGGACTGCACCAGCTCCTCTCAGCAGCTCCTTCGGTGCCAAAGAGGAGGCCAGGAGCTGTGCAAGAGGAACTCCTGGGCCCGGCAGTGTGGCCTAGCGGCTAAAGTCCTTGCCTTGAATGCGCCAGGATCCCAAATGGGCACCGGTTCTAATCCCGGCAGCTCCACTTCCCATCCAGCTCCCTGCTTGTGGCCTGGGAAAGCAGTCGAGGATGGCCCAAAGCCTTGGGACCCTGCACCCGTGTGGGAGACCCGGAAGAAGTTCCTGGCTCCTGTCTTCGGATCGATATAGCACTGGCTGTTGCACTCACTTGGGGAGTGAAACATCGGATGGAAGATCTTCCTCTCTGTCTCTCCTCCTCTCTGTATATCTGACTCCAAGAAATAAATAAATCTTAAAAAAAAGAGAGAGAGAGAGAAACTCCAACAACAATGATCTCTGCTTTGAAAGGATCATTGTTCTTTGAACCAAGATCCAGGGCTGCTGCCCCAGGCCCCTGTGCACCTGCAGGTATCTATGCTCCAATTTCTGGGAGTCCTGCTGCCAGTCTCGGGGCCTCACAGGCACTAAAAAAATTGTCCTTGGGCTTTTTGTTTCTCCTGCATCTTTTCTTCTGATTGCCTCTTTCCTCTAAGAAAATGAACAAGAACACAAGCCGGTCCCTACTGAGTGCTTCTTATAGTACAGTGAAGCACAGAGATCAACATTTTCATGGGGCGATTTGTGCATTGGGTGTGCAACACAAGCAAGGGATTATCATGTCTGCTCTTCATATTCAGCAGCTGAGGTGTCTACACAATGGGAAGATGGCAGGGGTGGTGCCCAGGCTTTCTGCCTCTACCCTCTGCTGATGTTCATTTGGGAGATACTGGCAGTTCTTTGCCCTTCTCATCAAACACCCTTCAGCCTCATAAGGTCTATGCCATGGGGAGGGTCAAGGGAGGTACCTGAGTAGCCTGTGATGTCCATGGCCTTCAGATTCCGACACTTGATCACTGTGAGTGTGAGCCTGCCGGCCGTGGGCAGGTAGCACAGGGAGAACATGATCTCTCCCAGGTCCACGCTTTCCTGCAAAGAAGCAAATAAGAGGGCAGGTGAGGCAGCGATGTGCAGGCTGGGCCTCTCTGTGTGCAATAGCAATAGCAGCTGTGGGGACTTGGGAGAAGAGTCTCAGAGACTCATTGCCTTGTAGGTAAGGAAGACCCTGGGAGGAGCCACCATGCTGGGTGTACTTGGGAAGAATAGGCCAAGATCACAGTATGGCCCGCACGGCAGCATCTGTCCCCTTCATGGACACTCCCTGGTCCACGTAGCACAACGGGCACCACTGATGGCAGCCTCCATCCACCACCCGTCCCTGGGGGCCCAGGCCTGTTCCCAAGTTCACTGAGCCCCCAGGCTGCCCTCTGCCTGCCCAGGCATGTGTGTAGTCCTGGACAAGACCCAGGCTGCAAACCACAAAGAGCCCTTGCCAGCCAATCTGTAGTTCTTTTCTGCTTCTGTCCTTCAGCCCAGAGGCTCTGTCCCAGAACACACCCAGCAGTCTTGATGGGGGAGTACGAGGTATTGATGCCACCTTTGCCATCAGGTCTTAGAGCCACAGGATTCACTTCCTTCAAAAACAAACACAGCAGGGGCCATGCCCTCTGGCAGCCCTCCTGCCCTTAAGAAGCACAAGGAGCAAAGTTCCTCGGGAGTGCCTAAGACAAAAGCTTTCAGGTGTAACTGTTCCTAGAGACGGTTGGCACGTCTAATCATTGTTGTATTAAGTAGCATGCTGCCAGAGTGCCCCCTCTTCCTGCTCCCCATGAGGAAAAGAGGAGGGGCACTGTCATTGCTCGTTCTCTCTTGCAGGTGTGATGTTCTCTGGGCTCCCCAACATTGAGATGTCTTCCCCTTAGGCTTCCCTGGGCCAGGTTGGAGATGAGGGTTTGGGTGATTCTGACGTGAGATGGACCGTCTATTTATTTGTTCATTCATTTGCCAAATATTTAGTAAGCACTTGCTATGAACAAGGCATTAAAATTGGAGCTGGGGAGGTAGGTAAGAACAAAATAGACAAAAATCCCTGCCTCAGCAGAGATGTCACTTTATAGGGTCAAAGATGAGAGAGGTGAATTGATACATAGGATAGTCCAAAGCATCAAAAAGAAAGGAAGCAGAGAAGGGGCACATCAAACATGAGGGAAGCTACTGCAGCTGAATTTTCAGATAGGGAAGGCCTCCCTGAGGTGATTACTTCTCAGAGAGAAAGAGGGTACTACTACAAACATCTCTTCAATCTAGCCCTCCCCAGTGCCTTCCAGAGCATTCAGTCCCAATGTTCTCCTCCAGGTGGCGCTGAGCCCACCCATTGCACATCCCTGTCTCCCACCTCATCCCAATCAAATTCCTAACACAAGGTGAATCTCGGGGCTCCACAGGATGCAGTGTGACTGGAACCACCCCCTTGAGCACACAGGACCCTACAGTCCCTACAGAGCTTTCTAAAACCAGCAATATGGAGCATATCCACTTTGGAGGCCCTTGCTATCTCTGTGCCATACACCATCCTCTTGTCTTCACAGAAAGACCCTGCCCAGCCAAGGGCACTACTTGGTTTCTGGAGAATGCTCATGGCCTCCACCATGCTCACCTGCCAGCTCATCCATGGGCATCTTCGGGCAGCCCTGGCTCCTTTCCAACCTTGGGCACCACTTGGTCCAACTGTCTGTTCATTTTGCTCTTACACTTCCTGAGTGCCAGCCAGAGGCCTGTAGTTTGGGGCCAAGCTACAGTCTGCATGCACCCCTTTCACAGACAGTGTAGCCTAGTGGGGTGCAGTTGAAAGAAGGGACCAGCATCCCCATCTCATGCATCTCCCAGCTCCCCAACCCCACCCACCTAAAGGAGAGAGACAGAATCTGCCTAGTGCATCAGCCTTATCAGAGGGCAGTGATTCCCAGATTAGTGTCCATGTGGCCCAATGACCCCTTCCCCAAGGTACAAGGAGAATCCCTGACCCCTGACTTCCCTTAGCCCCTTAAGGCTTGCTCCTGTGGCAGTTATGTAAACCCACTCAAGACTGAATAAGCCCAGAACTAGAGCCAATACTTACAGTAAGCAGACCAGGCACAGGGTCCTCCGCTCCGGCCTTTGCTAAATAACCTCAGCAAGTGCAAGAGGGAGGGGCTCTCATAGCCCGCTGCGCTCAGGAGCAAGCAACCACGCCTGCAGGCCAGTGCCTGCCCAAGGCATCACCAACAGTGGGTGACACAGCAGGCCACCGCCCTCCTCCCCGTTTTGGTCCCCTTGATGCTCTCTGGAATTGAGACTTCTCTCAGCTTGCACTGGGGACTCTGGATGAATCAGGTCCTGTCTTTATTCCTCACCCGGGTTTCTGTGTATCCTCTGCTCCCCAAGACTGCTAAGAATTTCAGCCTCATTTACCAAGATTCCTCCCTTTCTCTTCCTTCACTTGGAGAATCCCAAACTTCTGCAGGACCCAGGGTTGTTCTCCCCAGGACCTCTGGCCCAGCATCCATCCCAAAGTGAATGTCCATCACTCGGCCCGCATCCTGCAGGGCTTCCCTCCCCAGAGGAGCTGGCAGGGGTCACCAAGACACCCTGCCCCAACATCTTGGTACAAGAGACCCAGTGGGCCTGGTGCTTGCCTGGCACTGACTTGGGTTTTGGAGTAGCCACACCATGAAAGAAAGCCGTGTTTTCTGGGCTGCCCTTTCTTAAAGAACTAAGGCAGTTGGGGGATGGGGGGCAGGGGAGAGGCAAGGGGGTGTTCAGTCTGCAGCCATGACCTCCATCCTCTTCATAGAGCAGTCCAGATAGATAAAGGAGTGGTCCAAGATTCCCCTGTGACTTACAGGCACTGAGGAAACAGGGGCCAAGGCAGCTAGCCCAGTTCCAGGGATGGGAGCAACGGAGCCTACTGGAAAGTTGGCAGTTCCTGGCTCGGTGGCTGACTCCTCTGAACATGCATGCGGGTAGCAGAGGACTGGCTTATTGGATAAAGGGAAATAAATAAGTTAATTTGGAGTCAATAGAGACGTGGAAGCGGAGCAAACACTGAGAGTTGGCATCTCCCAGGAGCCACCCGCATCGCCTGGGAGCTGGCCCCAGCTCAGCCTGTGGCTGTGCTTGCTGAGTTCTTCCTCTGCATCCCGAGAGGTCTCAGCCCTGCAGCCTGTGCACTGCAGGACCCTTTCATCTTCACTGCAGGTGGCGGAGACGTTGGACTTTAATAAAACCGGCGGTGACCAGGGCTGGAGTAGAGCTCACATATTATTGCTTTCTTTTCTACCTGCTGTCAAGAGAGGTTGCCTTGGGGTCCCTGCCAGGTAATGAGAACCCAGCAAATCAGAGGTCACTGTTGTCCAGCTTGGCCCTCTTGACTCCTCATCTAGCATTTGAAGGTAGAGGGGTGGGCCTTGAGCGCAGCAGCAGCTGCCTGGATGTTCTGGCATGTGCTTGGAGTGAATGCATCTTCTGCTGGGGGAGAAGGGGCAAGCCAGGATATTGGCTCCTAGAAAGATCTATCCTTCAAGCGACAACATGTTCACCCATCACTGCCCATGCTAGTACACTGCCCACAGTGCCCGTGAGGTCTGGAAGGCCCACCCATCCCTTGGCATTGCTTTCCCAGGCCCACCCTCACTGCAGCCCATTTGCAACACATTCTTAAAGCGCTGTTTTCTCCTAGAGGTACTCACGTCACCCTAAGGCATGGAGCCACTCATATCCCGTGGGTTGCTGAGCAGAGCAGTGACTCACAGGTCTATAGACTATGGTCCCTCATTAGCCGTAAAACCTTGAGCAGGTCATTTGGTGGCTCTGCAAAAACAAGGGAGGGTACTGGATCCTTGGAGGCCCTGCCAGCCATGAGAATGAAGAGCTCACACTGGCAGATCTAGCTTCAACTGCTATGCAATGGAGAGGGTCTGAAGATGCATAATTGGTGTATATTGCCCACCTCCAGGAACCTAGCAACTTTATGCTGCAAGCAAAGTCATTCCTGCACGCCCATCTTCTTTACCTTCCCCCTGCTTCATGCTCTGCTCTTTTCCAGGATTAGACATGCTCCCTCCCAAATAGGCAGTGAGCAGTGCCAGTGCTCGCACTCAGGGATGCAGGCTGGGCAAAGCCAGCACAATGTTTCCCCAGCTCTTAGAGAGCCCACCTCACCTCTTCATCATTAAGTGCTGGTCCGAATCTCTCACCATCAGCAGAGATGCATCCGCTACACTTTGAGGAAAGCCCCAGGAGAACGTAAAGCGGATCTCAGAAGCACTGGGCAGGAAGGTCTGTTATCCTGGAGTGCAGACAGCGTGGAAGCCAATTTGGCTCTAATAGGTCAAGAAACAGCCAGCAAACCTCCCTGTGCTGGTGCCTGAGGCTGAGTATTGCCGTATGGAAGGTTGAGGAGGAGGCTGGAGGCTTGGAGCCAGGCCAACTGCCCTGTAGCATCCCCCATGGCAGTGCATGGCTCCTTTTATTGATGCATGCTACCATTGCATTGTCTATGCTGACTTGGAGATCATAGGATGCATGCCTGTGCTCTTTGCCAGACTATAAGCCCTTTGAGGGCAGGGATGAGCCTGATTTCACTGATCACGTCTAGCCCAGCCCCTGACATATGTATATATGTAAGTGCTCAGGAAGTATCGGCTGATGAAAAATGCTTGAGAACATGAATTTGGGGACAGGCATCCCTGTCATCACCCTGGTGTCTTAACCTGGAACACTAAGCCTGGAGCAGGATGCACAGGTTAAGGTTGCTACAAAGTTAAAGCAGGTGCTTTGTGCAAAAGGCTGGACACTCTGTACTGGGTGCTGTCAGGGTTATTACTGTGTTTGTTAGGAGCTCACAGTCCTGGGTAGGAGCAGGGGACAGGAAGGCACCTAAGTTATAAGGTTTGGTATCAACAGTGGTGTAACAGAGACTTGAACAAGTGTACAGACCTGAGGAAGGGGACAATAAACTCCACCAGGGCTATCAGCATAGCTGTCCCCAAGGCAAGGCATCTAGAAAGGGTGGTGAGGGGAGTTTGTCAGCAGAGAAAAACAAGCATTCC